TTGTTATGCATGAACTGAACTTTTCTAAACGTTATGGCATCTAGATACAGTTCCTACACTTTATCAGTACCTAGTAAAATTTTACAACCGCTCTTTGAGGGATTGTCGGGGGGCTAATGACGCCAATAAAAGGAGCGTGCCGCCAGTGTATAGTGGGCTAGAAACATCCAGAGTTGCATTGAATATGTGATTCAGGGTTTTGTGGGTCCGACCTTCATAGTTAACTTTGAAATACCAATAAAACTTTATTAGATACTGATGTAGTATATTTACTGTACTTTTCTAATATGTGTGATCTGTAGTGTTGTACTATGCTAGGAGGGATGAGTTTACAAATGTGTCGGTGGAGCAGCCCTGCCGTTCGCCATCACATTAGTGTTAGCTATACAGGATGATTTCGAAATATGTGCAATAATTTTAACCACGGCATTACGTAACGTAGTAATGAGGAAATATAGAAAAAACAAATTAAAAATCGAATGGGGCAAAACCCCCATGAACCACCTTCGATACGAAGTCACGGATCCACCTTGTAAACAGATGTGGAAAAACGTTCCAATAAAAACGACGTAAACACTTTTAGTTTCAATTAAAAATAAAACCGACTTTTTGCTGCTTATCATTCGTTCATTCATGCATTCATTTATCGTTAAAGGTCAGTGTGAAGGTTTTTTGGTAATGTTTCATGATGAATTGATGATCGACTTTTGATTCTGACGGATGTTTGGTCCTTGCTACAACGATTTTACATTGTTTATTAGAATACCAATAAGAGCAACTTAGAATGCTGCTACCTTTTTACAAGAAATGTTGAAAATGTTGTCCTTGACTTATATAGCCTTCAGAGCGTCACAAGATGTTTGTTGATAGGTAAAAATAACACCGGAGTAGCGGCTGCCACTTTCACTTGTTGTTGAAGCTCTTCGATAATTTCTGGACACTGTTGATTTCCACAAACTAACTGTTTCATCCAACCAATACACATTTATAGAAAACCGTTTCTTGAAATCGTACTCGTTTACAAGCATGTGGATAAACAAGTGTATAAGTATATGCTGAGTAGCCTCACTCCTACGGAGAACAGTAGTAGTTCTAGCTACTGTTTATGGCTACTTGACTTGACTTTACATTATATTATGTTTACAGTTTTAATTTGTAATAATTACACTGCAGATGCAGTAATTTGTCTGATGATGAATTTTGAACCTGACAGGATCATCCTTTTGGAAGAATCTGCATTTGATTTGCAGTATTGTTGTATTTCAGTGAAATATCCCTTGGGCTGACACCAATGGGACCGAAGAAATGTGTCCTGTTAAGGGAGTTGTCCGCTTATAGGAAAAAACAAAATTATATGTAGTTTAAATAAATTTATCTAAAGATAAAACAAAAGTTTAGAAACATTGGTATACAGAGTCTGTCCTATCAGGGCCACGATCGTGAGTTTGAAGTTGAAGGTACCATGATCTCGGAGATGCCGTACCACTGATGCAAATGTTCGCGCACACCATAAAGCATTACCAAATCGACACACACTGAATTGGAAAAATTCACAATAAACCAAATCCACCAACCATTCGATGTAAGCAACTGATACATGACTTCCGGTTTTCCTGTTTTTGCACGTTTCTTATCAATCACTTTTTTGGTTCCTGATCCGAGTCGTTCTGTGCTATTCATTGCAAGAAGTAGGTCAAGAAATACTAATACATATAATAATGTATATTTAATTTCAAATCATTGTTTCTAGACATTGCTACCGCTTAGGAACGTAAGCTTTTCACAGCGCGATAATTTTATTGTAGCTATTCCCCATTTATTTATTTATTTATTTATTTATTTATTAAAAATATAAAACTGGAAATATGAAACATTATTTTATGAAATATTAAAATAATCCAACAATGTGGTATGGCGAGTCTGAGTCTTGCAAGCAGCATCTTCAAAATGCAGTCGTTGATGAGAGTGCAGCATCGCCCTGACTCTTGCTGAACTTTTGTAAATCTTTTGTCAAATCTATACCCTGTCTGTAATTTGCTACTTTTATTTCAACACTATCCTGTTCCTCGTCTGACTTATCATTAGTTTGGTTTATAGTTTTTTCCTCAGGTTCTGCTTGTTGTTCATTATAATGATAATTGAGAATTGATAATTATCAATGGAAGGTGCCTCTGTATTGATGTCTGCGACCTCTTCTGTTACCAAACTGGCATCTATGTTGAAAAAATACTAGCGTTGTTCAAGAAAAAAATAATTTTTCTTTTTTCAGCACCCAAAGTTTATCAACCATTCTTCCATGATACTGGAGTTCATCCAAGTTTTTTTGTTATTTTTCCGAATTACAGGCAAACCATTTAAAGCGATATGTTTAAATGCTCTTGGTATATGGGGTTGACCTAGTCACCAACAATTTTCCTTTTTTGTCGAGAATATTAACACAATCCAATATCGTTATTTTTTTTTGGACATTTTCCCCCAACACATTTTTCGTTTTTTAAGGCGGGAGTTTTATTTGCTAAGACTCGACAAAATAAACCTGTTTCATCTGCATTTTAGATAACCTTTGGTGCATAATCTTTCAGAAGCATTGGGTTTTTTTTCCGAAAAAACTGCTACATCTTTCGGATTGACGCTAGCCGCTTCTCTAGCTATTGCTTTGAATGAAATATGGCGTTTCTGAAATTTTTCCAGCCATCCTACACAAGCACCAAACTTTTCAAATCTTAGATTTTCGGTCATTTCTTTTGCTTTCGCTTGAACCAAAGGCCGTATGCAACTTAAAGCCTTTGCTGGCAAATACGTAATTATTTAAGACCCCGTTTAAAAGAGATTTTGTGTACAATTTCCGCAGAAACGGAAATATGTATTTTTGTATTATGTAAGGGAGGGGATCGCAAGGAGAGATTTCACTTTGCGAAAGACAGGCTTCTCTTTCAATCTATTAAAAAAATATATATTTTTAGTAACAAAATGCCCTACCAATTTGTTTGCAAAAGTTTTCAAAAAACAGGGATCAAAAATGTGTTTGTGCGGTTGAGATAACTTCGTGGTGTGTCAGTTACGATATGTCGAAATATAGCACAAAATTTATAGTTGCTGTAGACTATAATAAAAAAATTTCTGCATAGTTACCATGTCGTCATTTGATTGTTACAAGAAATGTCTTCAGTAGTATTCAAGGCGGTCAAAATCCTCTTTGTTAAGTTCGTAGATTAATTGAATCTTGTATGGATTTTAGAAAGAGAATTATAGGGCTTCTACAAAAGACACCTTTTGACCCATAGTGCCATTTAAGGTTTTTGATTTGATAGTCACCCCTCGTTCCTGGGTGAAGGTAAAAGAACGAAAATAGTAACGTTATACGTCCCCCTTGAATCAAACATCGACCTGTTCGAGTATTTTTCACATAATCTAGTACGTTTAAGCCACCCTGTATTTCATCTAATTGTAACAAATATGAACCACATTTCAAATTCAAATTTAAAAAATCTTAAATGTTTGTTAATACGTTAATCGACATGTCACTTGTGGTCATCTAGGTTTTGGATTCCGTATGTCGGACCTCCACTCATTCACCTGCAGTAAAGCCTGCAGCCCGGGAACTGGGCTTCAGTTTACATTAGAATATATGGGTATGACCTGAACTGCCCTGACCTGACCTGACCTGACTTGACCTGGGAGACTGTACTGAGGTTTGAGCCCAAAACTTTTTTATTGCGTGTTTCTAGAAATATGAATTTCATTAAGAGTAAGAAAAATAGGTTTCTCACATAAATATATGTATTTATTTATTAACACATAGCTAAATCAAACTAAAACATCATATATTTCATGATATATTTTCACTTATAATAAATGGGAGTGTTCAAGAAACGGAACAAACAGTAATGTTTATTGCGTTTTTTACCGAAAAATCAGGCTTTTGGTCCTTTTTTGTTTGAGCATTTTTTTTACTTTCGTTGGTTTATTGGACAATTTGTCTAATAGGTACTGTACATTCAAGTTCCAGGTCAAATGATTATCTAATTTAAGTCCAAGAAATGAAATAGGATCATGATGTATGTTTCGAGCTCGTTCGACGATATATGTATTCTTGGTTTTAATAAGAGAAATGATGCGGATTTCGAACGCGTCCGATGAATTGATATTTGAATGATATACGTTGAAACAGGTAGGATGACTGATAAAAGAACCAGCGGACTGTCGTTACAGATTAGAGATGTTTATTTCCCGAAAGCTACAGGTGGACTCCTAGTTTAAAGCGGGTGGTGGCCAGACTTCCCGTTGAGGTTGGGGAGAATAAAAACACATACCCCCAGTACTGGCTCTCAACAATGTAAATGCATATGGTATAATGAAAAAGTCATGTATTGAGTTTTATTGACATTAGGCGTAAGTTTGTTTGCGGCAAATCATGTAAATACATCAAATTGAACGGCACACTTTACCTAATTTAGTTCAACTGGATTTCTATTATTTATAACAACTGAAGTGTCATCGGCAAAGAGGATACATTTGCCACTGACAATACAATTTGGAAGGTCATTAATATATAATTAAAAAAGAAAAGGTCCAAGAATCGAACCCTGTGGAACATATATATATATATATATATAGATATATTTACTGTACAAGTCGAGATCATTTAGTGATATTTTTTGTACAAGTAGGGATCCATTCTGGCAAGACGAGATCCAATTTGGATCTCGACTTGTTTCATGTGTATATCTTCACCAAACAATTTTTATAGGTGGGGGAAGGACGTCACTGCATTATTTGTCGGATCTCGGATTTCACATTTTTATCAATTTTTATACGAGAGTAGTTCAGGTGGGCACACCAACGAGGGCGCTGCAATGCTCAGGCTGTATATAACATTCTATCAATAAGTCGAGATCCAACAGATCTTGCAACATCGCAACAGTTTTTATTATAAGTTTTAACAAAACGACGGCGATTATTGAATTACAACAGAATTAAAATAGTAAAATGACAAAAAATAGGAATATTACAATTTTATTTATTTTTGTAAGTATTATAAACAAAAACTTTAATTTGTACCCAAGTCTTGTTCATAAATGAATCTAAATTGTCTTGTTGTAATTTTAAGCATTCCGCTTTTTTCGGCGAAATTTTGTTTTTAATATGATTATTAAAATAATTTAACATTATGGACTTTTGCTTGTCGTTCCATGTTCCACGACATTTCTCTTTTTTGGGTTTTTCTTTAGATATCTTTTTCTTTTTGAGTGGAGAATCATCAGACATAGTTTGAGCTTTGTGCTTGTTGGTTTGCGTAACGTTAACACTAGTCACAGACATAGTTGGCATGTCTAGTCTAATTCTTTCATCTTCTTCCTTTGGTTCATCATGTGCGCTTTTTTCCTCCAAATCATGGTCCTCTGATTCTAAAAAAATAAACAAGTCAAAAAACTGGTTATTATTTGTTATTTTGTTTATGTTATTATTTGTATGTTTTAAACTTAAAAAAAATTAAAATAATAGCGGGAAGTTACCACTTCCAGGGTCTTCAAGAGATTTTCCATTCCACGATTCCAATTCGACGTTGATTTCATCAAGAGTTTTACCCTGATTCTGGCTGCCGACTCCCCTTTCCATCATTAGAAGTAACTTGGCTATTTTTGCAGTTTGAAAAACGTCCTGCGGCATCCTTAAAAAAAGAAAGATATATAGGTTCTCGAAATATTGTTATTTTTACATATCCACAAGCTATATACTAAATATCCTACCTATAAAATTGTTCGTGGGTTTTTTTGGTATGGCCCATAAAGGTGGCCACTTGCTCCATTTCAGTGTCATTAAGGTTTAAAATCTGTAGGACAGTTGCAATTTGTTTTCTAAGGCGAGAAGAGGTTAGAGTACCAGAATTTTTGGCCCCACATTTGACTGCATATCTTCTTAATACGGCTGATCCATCCACCCATTTAGTTGAGCTTCCTGTTAACGCGAATAAAAATGGATTCTCATGCGGTACGAACGTAGTTTTTCTTCTGACTGATAGAAGTGTTTCTATGTATTTTTGTACATTTTTTGAAAAAAGTATCGGAACTGACCTACTTCCTTTTCCCACTGTGGTAATGCGTTTAAAATGCTTCGATAATTCTCTTTCACATTCATTTAGGGAACTAAGGCACTCCTCTTGGTTGGTACTTGTTGATATTCGATTATAAGATTCTAATTGTGTATATTGTACATCTCCGATTCTCTTCCTATTTAAAATTATTGTCAGAGCCAAAGCCGCTTCCGTAAGTTTTTTGAATGACGTCAAGTTTTCTGAATTCGTTTCTAGTTCTTTCACACATGTTTCCGCAATTTCTTGCGTATAATTTCTGAATAAAATAATATCCTGGGTTACTGGTAATTTCTGCGGATTTATTGATTGCTTTTCATTAAGGTCCTTTAGTGCCAGACTGCTCATTTCAAATTTCCAGTTAGCATCGACCAACTCCCGAAATCCCTTAACATTTTTGAGTGCTATGTCATAATCGGTAATCCCCAAAATAGGATGTTTTTTTAACATAAGAGTTTTAGCTGAAGAGCATACAGCTAATAATATTGTTTTCATATGAAGAGCAAGAGAAGGCGCTTTAAAGGATCGCTTTGCTTCATTGTAACCCGAAATTATGCGGCTGGCGGAAACTACTTTATCAAAGTGTTCAGGTTTTAACACTTCTAGCATGGAATTAATTTTATAAATATCTTGAAGTGGAATGAGAAGTCTTCCCAATTCCCTCACTTTGTTTGATACCGCATTTTTGATATGTGGTCTTTTATGTTTGCGCAGGTAGTCTTCTGCATATTGACAGATTATTGGGTCACTTTTTCCGTTTAAAGATATTCTGTCAGCACGCATTTTGCTAAACACTTCGCATTTCAATCTTGATTTTTTTAGAAATTCTTGACGAGATTCAGTAAAAGCAATCATTGTCTGACCCTCGCTTGCAAAATTGTGTTTTTGATTAATCTCTTTATTGTAACAGCAAGTACGGGCGTGCCTCCGTAGAGATTTTTTTTTGTATAATCCTTTACAATAAATGCATGGAAGGTAATCTGTTGGGAGAATTTCATCATTTTTACTTTGTATTGCAGACGGTCTTTGAACCGGCCTCGTTATATTCTCTCCTAGTACTGTAAAATTCCCTTGCTTTCTTATGAGATCAATCATAATTTTTCTTTTGCGTTCACCTTTTGACTGTTCAAGGATTTTTCGTACACTTTCTTCTTCTGCATGTTTTCTAAAAAGATGTCTTGAAAAATTAGTGACGTCTTTATCACAGTAAGAGCAGCGATCCTTTTTGTCCCATACTCTTCCCTTACGTAGACTGTGTTCCACAGGATTTTTATGAATTGGTCTTCGAGTGGAACCCTGAAAGAATGGTATTTTAACATCATAGAGTAAGTTGCAAGAACTTTTTCCTACTCGTTGCTATGGACGACGTCTGGCAATAGTAATTTACGCAACTAGTTCGGGATAGCCTGCTTCCCGCATGAACGCTTGTTTGAGGCACGACCGAAGGGAGTGCCGCATTTGCGTGAATGCGGGAAGCAGGCTCACGAACGTGTTGTGTACAATATTTTTTGCGACGAATAAACCTTTAAACTGAAGAGATTAACTGTGAGTTATTTATAAACAACGCCATTGACAGCGCCGTCAACACGTCACAATGTTGACACTACCCGAGTATTTTAAGGTTACCATGGCAACGGGAAGTTAAATGCACGTGTGCGGGAAGTTCGACCTCCCGCACTCTGGTGAATGCGCGAAAGCTATCAAAAAAGGTCATGAGTGCAAAAAAGCTATTTCACAACGTCGTCAATACCAACGTACGGAAAGAAAGACAGATTGGAGAAATGTCATTAATTTGACTTTTGTTGTGGAAACTTGTTTGCATTTTTTCTTCAGATATTAGGGATAACGAGTAGAAAAAATTATGTGAGACACACGGCCACAAAATGTTTTGCGAGTGCTTGTGTTGTTCCGCCTGGACTAGCGTCTCTCGGCTCCACATTATCACTCGCACTCGCAAACATGCATTTTCTGGTCTTGTGTCACAAATAACTATTGCTAGACGTCGTCCATAGCAACGAGTAGGAAAATAGTATATTATTAGCCAAGGTTGCAAAGCCAAGCATTCTAGACCGAGCGCAAATTAGAAGCCGAGACTCGCAGTGTCGAGGGCTCTGAAGGGCGAGGTCTAGAAGTGGCTTTGCAACCGTGGTTAATATATTATTTTTTTCACTAGTAGAAACCATAAGACAATAAATTGAAAAAATAAACGTTCAATTTTTTGACGCAACATGATTTTATTTTGATTTCTAATCAAACTTGATCTAAATCTTCAGCACAAAGAAAACCGTTTACACTTGTCGCTGAATTAATCATTTTATCTTCCACCGTCTACCAACTACCATGCGTATACTCAAGTAATGTTAGTATCACACATTTATTCATTTTTTAAGAAATAATCACATCAAGTATTGCGTACATAACCTCAATCTTCTTTTTGAACCCGTGGTCGCAAAAGTTGAAATTGCTACCTCTAAATGAGTGGACATGCTTCATAGCTGCTAGTGAAAACAATTTTTTTTTCACTAGCAGCCATGATCCATGCAAATGTCGACTCATTTAGAGGTAGCAAATTCAACTTTTGCGACCACCGGTTCAAAAAGAAAAATTGAGGTTATGTACGCAATGTTTGATGTGATTATTTCTTAAAAAATGAACAAATGTGTGCTACAAACATTACTTGAGTATACGCATGGTAGTTGGTAGACGGTAGAAGATAAAATGATTAACTCAGCGACAAGTATAAACGGTTTTCTTTGTGTTGACGATTTAGATTAAGTTTGATTAGAAATCAAAACAAAATCATGTTGCGTCAAAAAATTAAACGTTTATTTTTTCAGTTTATTGTCTTATGGTTTCTACTAGTGAAAAAAATAGTATATTTGTTATTAACCACGGTTGCAAAGCCACTTCTATACCTCGCGCTTCAGAGCCCTCGACGCTGCGCGTCTCGGGTTCTAATTTGCGCTCGGTCTAGAATGCTTGGCGTTGCAACCTTGGCTAATAATAAATATACTGTATTCTCAGGCTAAAGTGATACGCGCTATAATGTAAAAACCTCGTATTTCTGATACATAGGCTACGTACTTATATGAATGTATTCAATAAAAATACGCATACCGATAAATCACAGTCTGATGTAGGTAATGGTTTTGGACTCGTTGGGAGTGGATTTTTCGCGTCAAGAGAACTTTCAATACACTTGACAGGATTTGATGACTGACGTTCCTTAGAAGCGGTCTGAAAATATATAGGTGATTTTCGGGGGATAGACTCGCTTATCTCGGAATAATTATCTTCTGAAGTGACATCATTCTCTTGATTGGGCTTCCAAGAAACCTAAAAGTAATGATATTATCATTGGCAATATTTTATTTTAAATGTAATCAATTGAAATTTCTAGAAGTTTTTTATACAGTAGCGTTATCATTTTTCAGCAAGGATGAGAAAATTTTGAATTTCCAATATAAATAGTTACCATCACTGAACAAAAAAACTAGAGCACAGTTGATAACTAGATCATTTTCAAAATTACAGAATTTTAAACATATAAACTGAATAATTTATCCATCCATCTACTTTAAACACATAAGTTGGGTTTTTGTTAAAAAGTATTCCCATCATTTTATGAGATATGGTTGACACTGGATGACATTACGAAAAAAATGATTTTGAAATGGGTTCGGAAAACACATCGATTAATATTTACTAGCAATCAAAGAATTTCGCAGGTTTCGTTTTTTAAATTGCTGCCCCAGTTTCAAGAAAATTTTGATAGAAATCTTGTTCAATTTTGATGATGCGGCACTGATTATAATCTATTTGCATCATCCATAGTTAAATACCGATTGTGTTCTTTGTGTTGTTAGCTTTTTTAACTATAAAAATTTGAGGCGTATATCTTCGCTTAATGCGTTAATAATTATTTTTTACGTCACATCTGTCAAACTTGTAACAATAAAAAAAATCGAAATAAAAACGTTTTTCAATATTTGGCGTGTCCAAAATGTGTCTATTATGCCTTGTCTATTATGCAGACGTGTACCCTTTATTGAAAAACGTGTTTATTATTGTTATAAGTTTGACAAATATGACGTAAAAAATTAATTGTCCGATTCAACATACAACGCCAACATACGTCTCATTATGTGCATATCAGTGGCGCCGAATTAGGTCTGGATTTTGGGATTTTTATCCTTGTATTAGAATGAATAAAAATTACTGGAAATGCCCTCAACTTATTTCAGAGATGTTGTGCTTTAATTTTCCGAACGTATTTCAAAATCACCCTGTATATCTGAATTTCATTTTTAAAATGTAATTATGATTGTCGTTTTGTGACACAATTGACAATTGTAAAATTTCCAGTTTCCAATTTTCTTTGTCCACTGATGGTACGTACCTACTTAAACAACAAATCTGATATTCGATATTTAACTACTTCACTTACTGATGAATCTGCAAATAGGGAACTCTCCGACAAATGCGAATTTTCGTCATCACTATTATGATCTTCCTTTTCGGCGGAATTCTAAAACACATTATTTTGTATTTGTTTTCGTTAAGTACTGTGTAGGTCTTGAGTGAAAAATGGGCACTAAAAATGCAGGAATTAGCAGTGAAATTGCCCATTTTTCTACATTTTTTATGCACCAGTTGGCTATTTTTGAAATAAAATGATAATTTTTACTATAAAACTTACTCTGATTTACAATATTTTACATACATGACTGTTAGAACAACATACATACCAGAAGTTGATCGTTACATGTATGCACCGCTTCTGTAGTAGTTAGAGGCGTTAATTGGTTAACAGCGTCTTCATGATTTTGAATATCATTTAAAACGCTATTAACACTATTCTCAGATCCGGTTTGAACATTTCCCTAAAAATACGTCAAATCTATGTACAGGGTTCTAAAGATTCATGGAAATTAATTTAGGTACTGTTAAAATATCAGGCATATTTTTTTTTAGCTGCACAACTTATAGAACCGTTAAGGGGAATATGTATTTATCCAACACTTATATTTGTACATTTTCGCTAAAGACAAATAGTTCTTGTAAAAATTTGTATGAAATAGGACGCACGCCTGTCGATGATAGAAAGCGAAAAAATCGCTCTGAAAGTATTCAGTCCGACTCGAGTTTCAATAATGTTGACATTTTACAACTGCATTAGAAAAATTACTTTTTACTACATACCTGAAGATTGTGGTCTAACGTTGAGAGTTGTGGGCTAGTTTCAAGTGGTCTTAATTCTTCAAGCACACGTTCTTCAAAATTTTGATTATCATTTTCCATATGGTTGTCCTAAAAATTCGTTAAAATTTTATAATTGAGTTCTGTCCAATTTTCGGATTAGGATGAACTAACCCAATAATTTTAAATTTAATGAACGTTTTTTGATGGTAACTAGTTTTTTAAACACCAAAAGACGACTGCCCTTGGTGCCATGTTTTAAATGAAGTACAATATTTCTATTCAATCTTCTTTATAACATCTTAAATAAGAAAAAAAAATCTGCGGCAGTGAAAGTCCTTTTCTCAAAAAGTACAATTTTTATTAAAAACAATTAATGAAATTTAAAGCTGTTTGTGTCCAAAACCGAAAAGTTTCTAAAAAATTCCCTTCTGAACAGCGGTCTACATATTTAAAAATAATTTTATCTGACTTACAGGTGGGTACTCTAAATTAACTCGTATGATTTTTGACGAATAATATACTAATAATTTTAACTTTTATCTACGTCGAACAGTGGACTTTATAATTTTTTTATATATAAGATATAAAACAAATGCAATAAGGGTCGGTATCACCAATGTTAGTTAAATTTAACGGATGATTAACTACTTAGATATATTTGTTACAACCATACCAACAATTGTTTTTAACGAATGATTAAAGTTAACTGAAATTGTGAAATCCATCTTAATTGTATTAAATCGATAATTCAAATATACATACCTTTTGATTACAGTATGAGTTATTCAATCTTTGAGCCAATGGTATTTTCATTTTCTTTGCTGCTTGCCACTTTTTAAAATGTGACCACGGGTCTTCTGCATATTGGTCTTCTAAATAATCATAATTATATTCGTCCGAGTGTTCGTCGGATTCATCTAGTTTCACTGTTAAAATGCGACGAGATTAACATTAACATTGTAATAATACCATTCTTATTTTACTTTACCTTCGTTTAATGGTACATTAGATTTTCCACTTCTGGCCAAATATACTAAGTTTTTTCCACGACTTATCATGATGTCGAAAAATTTTGCTTACATCACCACTGACTATCCACTCAAAACACCAAAACTCTGAAAAACTACGTAAATGCACGTGCAACTGGTCTCTTTGCGCAGACGGGCCAGACGTAACTCTGGCAACGTTACCGGATCTCATGTTTTGCGTTTTACATCAATGTATACATTTCTGGATCTCGACTGGTTGTGTTTTTACAAATGATCTCGTTTTGCACAAATTTTGTCAAGAAAATTAAATGTTAAAAATGTTTTCCCCTCTGTGGGGGTGTGAGTTAGACAAGGTATTGAGGCATTTTTTGTAAAATATATACTTTAAAAAGTATTTTTATTATAGTGGATCTCAGGTTGTCCAAAGTTTATTCGGATCTCTACTTGATACAAATATATATATATATATATATATATTTTTTGGCAGCTGAATTAACATTATTAAACTGGACAAATTGAGTTCTTGTGCTTAAGTAAGATTTAGCTAATATTATACTGTTCGTATTGACAGAATAATATTTAAGCTTCTGGAAAAGAATACTGTGCTCCACATAATCGAAGGCTTTAAATAAGTCAAAACTTAATATTGAAGAGTAACTTTTTTTTTGCAAAGGCTTGAAGAACTTCATTACAAAGTGTACTAACAGCTAAACTCGTAGATCTGTTATTACGAAAACCAAATTGAGAGCTATGCAATAAATCTTTCCCTTCCAGATCTGCACTAACTTGTATTTTAAGAATGGTCTCAAATATTTTACTTAAAATGGGTACAAGCGATATTGGTCTACAATTGGAAACAACATTTGGATCATTCTTTTTTAAAACAGTAATAACCCTTAGATCATATAATAAATAGATACCAATACTCAAACTGAAAGCTGTGACTAGACATGAAGCTATCTGTTGTCGTTTTCTACGTCAAGGGGAGTAGTATAATGCTATCCTTGTGTGATCACCACATCTTCATCTTTGTTATATGCATTTCATCTGTATATGTCTATTTCACTTCCATCCTTGTACCGCACCCGCGCAACAAATCGCTTTTGACAGATGTTTCTTCTAACCTCTCTTTCGAGTTCTTGTACGAGAAACAATTTTAGAATTTAGAACAAAGATCATATTTTAAGTGATGTAATCATAACGGATCACAATTGCTGCCCAATAATTTACTATTCCTTTCGTTATCTCCTGTGTATTATTTATAAAATCAAGCTGTCAACATCTTTCGTACGAAGTTAGTTCAGACATACTTCCTAAAATTCAGGCGCGCAAAATTCAAATAGTGATCAGGCAAGGATAGCTTCATTGTAATCCCTTCATGCACAAGAGAGACATGTGACAGAAGGATGTCGTCACAGGCTCTTCTAGGGAAAGAACACGTTGGTATCTATTTATTATATGATCTAAGGAATAACCTTAGGAATTTTTGATTGGTCAGGTACAACAGAATCTCGAATATATTTGTTAATTATTTTTGTTAATGGAATAACAATTATATTAACTAAATTCTTGATTATATTGGTGTTTATACCATACACATCTCTACTATTTGTGTTATTCAAACTACGCATCGCACTTCTAACCTCATTCATTAAAAGTCACTTCTTTGAATTCGAAATTATTAATATTAGCTTGTAGTATGTACTTATTGAAACTAGTCTTGACCTGTATATTATTTATAATATCCTTGATAATATTTACAAAATAACTGTTGAACTCATCAGGTGTAATATTAATATAGTCTGTATGCTGATAGATTGACTGACAGAAAAGTTACTAGAAATTAAGTAGCGCGCGAAAATTTAAAAATTTAATTTTTTTATTTAAAATTTTGCGCACTACTAAATTTTAATAAAGCAATGAATTTTGAAGAAACTTTACAGTATTCTAAATAAAGTATGTTTAATCTCTTATAATTCGAGATATCTTATTATTAAGGTCTTAATTTTTAATTTAAATTGCTATACAAGAACTTTGTTAATTAGCCAATAACACGTGACGTCACGCTGTGGCGGGAACTCAGCGTTTGACAAGCGCCGTGAAACTCCATAAGTTACAATGTTAACATTTTCGCATTTTATTTAAAAGTGTGGGTATTTATCTAGAAAATAAACACGTGAATAGCTTCTTTGAGTTTAAAAATACATAATAAAAATAAAAATACAGAACGCTGTTTTGGTCTGAATTCCTCGTCACCCAAAATACATTCGTGTGTTTTAAGCGGTAAATCGGAAATTAAAATTTTCGTTTGAGGTTAATGTGACGGGTTTAAATGAAGGTGTGTAATTTGTTTTTAAAGTATGGATAATTTAAGTGATTATGCACGATGTCTTTTCGTCAAAGAGAAAAGCAGATATGTACAAAAGTTAAACAATTTAAACGGCGTAGATCCTTATATAATGAGTGCAAGTGATTTTAATTTGTGTTTAGACGATGTCCCTACCATAACAATGAATACCATTCTAAACTTTTTTATTTTTGGAATAATTAAAATAACGCACAATGAAATTTGTGCATTCAAAAGTCTAGAGGCATTTATTCAGTTTTCTCTATTTTTGTCTTTCAACATTACAAGTATTATGAGTGGATTTATTTTGATATCCTAAATTTTGTGATGGAACATAATCAGGATGGTCCACATCCGACAAATCTGCAGGTTTACCTAAAAGAGCACCAATGTAGTAATTTATTAAAAACTGTAAATCTAATAGGTAGTTACTGTACCAAAATAAAATGATCTGAACAAACATAGGAATACTTTACTTTGGCTTCGTTAAATCCACTCGTTTCAAGGCTTTTAACCAAAGCTTCCGCCTTTTTTTCCCATCCTGTATATATTTACCTTTATTGTTGCTAATTGCTGGGAAAGGAAAATAAAATTTGTCCGCATTTCTGGTGCTTTGATTCGCGCAACCTACAACAGCACAAAATTTAGGCATTTTCTCCTAAAATACAAAATATTATAATATTAAGATGCTAGTGTATTTAAAAAACATTGATGTACATTAACAAAGAATTAATTTGCAAAACAAATAATATAAGATGCAGCGAAGTTAACCTGTACATCACATTGGAAAACATTAATTTTTAAGCATATTCAAACGTTATGGTGCGTTTTACAGATATCTACACAGTCTAGAAACTGTAACAAACTTACCAAACTATAAAAACACATTTGACACGCTCTCAAATTTAAATGAATTCCGAAAATATTAGCATTGACTCTTATGAGAAAACAGGCTAGTTGTCAAACGCTGCCATCTTGATGACCTCGGATGACGTCAGTGTATTTGGCTAATAGAACTTTATTTCTTCATATATCATTTTCAGCAAAATTAAAATCGCTATCACTCTCATCTGTCTCTACGTTTAAATTTATTATAATATTATTTACTTTTACAAACTTTTCTTTGTCCCAATAGGTTTTAATGATATTTTCTGTATGTTTAACATAGCTTTTCCATTGTTCCGGTGTTACATTTTGTAGGGCTCGGTTCCAGGCATCAAGTGGGTTTTTAGATTTTAAAACGCCTTTGTCGTAGAAACGTTTTGTTTGACTCCATGCCATCTCTATGGGATTAAATATACAACGGTATGGAGGCAAACGTAAAACATCATGACCGGCTGCAGTAATAATATTGTCTACTACATACACTGGCTTTTTATAATGAGCTTTACATAGCTTTAACAGTGTATCTTTTTTATGCAACTCTGAAAATGCGATACAGTTCTTTTGCAGCCACAATTGAAGATCAACTTTTTTCCACGCCGTTGTAGGTCGCTTTTCTTCAAGTCGACTATGGTAACTGGCGTTGTCTAAGACTATTATACTAGGTTCTTCCAGTTTTGGTAACAAATCGTTTTGCAGCCACTTTTCAAAATTTTCAGCGTTCATTTCGTGATGATAATCCAGAGTGTTGTTTTTACTTTTAAATATAAGAGAAGCATTTTCTACAAATCCTTCTTCGTTACCAGCATTGATTATAATGTATCTACCTAAAATTGTTTTGAGGTAACTTCAGTATTAGACATAAATGCATTGATCCTGTATTAGCCTAAATTAAACTCAGTGTAGTAGATACTCTACCGCCGTCTCCAGAAGTTCTTTTGACAGAACGTAGATCCTCATCCTGCCATGATCGCCTAACGGTTCCATTTGAAAATACCCAAGTTTCATCCAAATATATGAAAGGTTTTTTCTCTGCAGAATTAACATTCTCCATATATTTTGATAGAAATACTTTCCTCAGCGCTACAACATGTGGTTTTTCCATTAAAGCACGTCTGCTATCATCTTTTTTGTATGAAAATCCCAAATTCTTTAATAGAAGTGCTAAATTAGATCTTTTATATGTGTAGATAAATTTAGCTGATAATTCTGCTCCCAAGGTATCCAAATTTACATGAATTCCTAGAACAAATTTAATGTAATTAAAATTTATTGTATCTATTTGAATTGAATCTCTGGGAATCTATAGAATAGTTAAGCTCAAATTCTAGTTGGAAGAAAATTGCGTCAGAAAAGTTAAATTTGATGTAAGTCTTACTGTTTTGCACCATATCGTACAATACAAGACGAACTTCTCGTTTGATGTTTGGATCCAGGTCAGATGTTGCTTTTTTTGGACGTTTTCGTTTTATTTTTCTTGCAGTTGCATCAGTAAAATTTTTATACTTTATTACTTGGTTCCTACTAATTCCGAGACATTTAGCTGTGATCTATGAACATTCAAATACCCATAAGCACTGGGCGGAAAAATATCTTACGGATGCAATTCCCCAGTTGAAGCAAGGTGTGTTTTACGGCGAGTAGCGGGGACGCTTTGATCTGGTCCACAAGGTCGTAGCCAGTGCGTCGCTTCGAGTGTTTACAGCTTGTTAAAAAACTACTTCTATATTACTATATTACTTCAAATAAAAATACTCGATGCCCTTTTTAATTTTTCAAACACAGGACCACAGATTTGTGATCTTGAAATGTTATATTATGTTGATATAGTCCAAAAGAAAAATATATTTGTAATCAAACTATCGCCGCGACAGCACTGGATCGAGCGTATGAAACACAATTCCGCGCGTTGCCCATAAGAGACCATGCATACAACTGCACAATTTGTTGACCTCAGCTGGCGATCCCAAGCATAGATTTTTATTTTTGAAGAAAGCGTAAGCATTTGCAATCATCTTTTGCGCCACAGTATTGTCTATTACAGTTAAGTAATTTCGCTTCATTTGGTTTTCCTAAAAAATATACACATGAAGCCTTTTAAATAAGCCATCATACACTTACCTGGGCAATATTACTCATTATTAGATCGTTATTGTTTATGGAGTTTATATTTTTGTCTAGGTAGGTTTGTATTTACCCACAACACT